TCATCCAAATTTTACAACCAGTTTCACAACTTACCTGTACCTCCAGATGTTGCAGTTCCATAAATGTGGCGATGTTGAGGTTTTGTTAGGACGAAAGCCGACGATTTGCATGTGTTATGTGTTTCTTTACAATAAAAAGTATATTCGTAAAACAAAATTAATGAATTGTTAAACCTGACCTCAGTGGGCGGAGGCTGAGGTGGGTTTTAATCATAAAAGAGAGCTGAGAATTTTCCAGTCACATTTCAAATTATATATTTGGAGGGAATTTTTAATTTTTCTCACTGTCTGCATAAACATAATTTAACAGTTCAGACGTAGGTGATTTTATAACAATCCACGGATTGTTGCGTAAAAAGTAATTGATTGACTTATGGCCCTATTTAGGAGTTTTATGGCATCGCCCGCCCCCAGGTCCAGTTATCAAAACAAACAGCAAATAACACTGCTTATTAGCGCTGAGTAGTGTACTTCCTCAAAAATAATAGTGTTTTCCTAAAAACAACACTTAGGTTATATCAATGTTTATTCTGTTTGCGGAGTAGATGTCATCAAACTGGAAGTCCTCACCCCAGCAATGGTATCACTTCCGGATGTCCATTATGTAATGTCTAGTGGTTGAACTGTTCTCAATAGTTGTTTCGTTCTATACTCAAGTTGGTGTTTCCGCTATTCTAAGTGTGCAGTTAGGCCGTCTTATCCACAGTCATTTCTGAGACATAAATGCAAAGTTTAATTAATTAAGTCCACTCTCATTTCTTTGCATTTATAATTAACTATAACATTAATTTAAGATTTACAGTATATACTATTTAAAAGAAGTTAAGGAACACCCGATTCTTTCATATGACTATGGTAAGGCATGAGAGAAAGCGATAGGGCGAGAAAGCGATATTTCCAAACATTAGAAGGTTTTTGCTGATTTTCAGTGATCCATTCTTATAATTCTCACCGCTATTTTGCCCTTATAATTAGATTTTTTCAACATCTTGTAAATAAATATGTTACATATACATTCATATTTCTATATCATTTAGTTTTTTTTAAACAATATTTATTTCCACTTGGTACAGTGAAAGGGGATTGATAAACAGGCAGAGCCTATATAAATATCTCTCCCCAACACAATGCAAACAAGCAGCAGTAGTATGATTATACAGTACCATAGACCTGGTATGAAGTCATATGTGGTACATCAAGGGTTAACAGTTGTTAGGGAGATTTATATAAGAGTGCATGTTTAGACACATCTTTTGCTCATAGAGAAGAAATGATGTACAGAGTCAGTATTCAGCAGGATTTCTTTGTCTAGGCTGACGTTACCAAACAGGACGGTTCGTAGGTCATATCCATTAACATAACAATAGCTTTCAGATCTAATCTCAGTATAATTTGGGCAAGTAAATAGGTAGTGTAAAGCACTTTCGTTGAAAAAACACATGAACATTCAGCATTATCGCTAACATATCTTTCAAAGTTGTGACCGTTCAGATCACTACATCCTAGTCTTAACTTAAAGTGGATTATCTGATTTGCGCGTGAACCAATATTTTTAAATATGCCAGGCACTTCTGATTTAATACACTTATACATTTTTTTAAAAACTGAGATAATGAAGCGACTTCTCTCAAAATAGAATCTAGTACATTCCAGGCGGAGACTGTGGAAGGTAAAAATGACTTTTTAAAAATAATTCAGTTCGTTTATGTTACGTGTTTCATAATGTGGGCGATCCAAGGTTTTATCACATAAATAATTTTGCGCTGTCCCACTTTTCATTTTATAAAAAAATGCATAATTTGTGAAAATGTCGTCTCTCAGCCAAGGAGGATAGACCGGTTTCGTTATATAATTTTGTATGGCTTGTGACCCTTGGTGCAATTATTGCTACAATTATTGCTGTGACCCTTGGTGCAATTATTGCTTATATGGTCACAGTAATCAAACAAGGGTAATATGAATGAACAATAGAGCGTATGTAGACTGTGTCTGTTCAAACGATATTTCAGACTACGAAAGAAATTTACCAATGGGCTAACCTTGGAAGTTAGATTTTCAATATGGCTATGCCAATGTCCATGACTCTGTAAAGTTAGCCCGAAATGATTGTGGCTATTAACATTCTTATTTTTACATCATTCATGAACAGATCAGGCAGGACAGTGACGTTACGTTTTCTTGAAAATTGAATTGCTTCTGTTTTATCGGGATTAAATTTTACTTTTCAAGTTTTAGCCCATTGAGAAATACGTTCCAAATCATGATTAACTGAAATACTTGTTGATAATGGATCATCAATAATGACATATAGCGAATTATCATCAGCAAACAATTTTACATTACATTGGATGTCACAGACGATATCATTAATGAATACTAAAACTAAAAATAATAAGTGCCCAAACACTGAACCTTGAGGATCACCGGCAAGTACAGGTTTAACATTCGATTTGTGTCAATTAATAACTGTATGTTGCTTTCTACCAGTTAAGTTACCTTAGAACAATCTTCAAGAGAGTCCCTTTTATCCCGCACTTGCTTAATTTATGTAACAAACCTTTGTGCCAAACACGATCGAAAGCGTTACTAATGTCACAGAATATTGCCATATTTCCTTTCTATGATCTAAGGCATTACCTATGAAATCATCACTTGTAGTTTGTATATACGCCTGCGTTTATTTTCTTGTAGTGTAGTAAATAAGCAAGATTCACAGACTACTACAGAATAGTCGCAATTCATATTTTTATTTTGTTCATAAAACCACCCCATGCTTCCATCAATCTTAAAACTGAAACTTTAAAGGCTAAATTGAACTGAAATAATTAATGATTTACATATAGATCATATATTGACAAATAATTGTCAGTATTATCAGCCACTGTTTGTATTGTTTGCAATGACCAAAGAATTATTTTGTCAGTCAACAGATTTGGAGTTTAAGCCGAATATGTGCTCGTCCGATTGCGGGATGACAATTACAAAATACAGATTGATTAGATATATGTTTCCACCCTAAGTCACACATACGACATTTGAGAGCGTCATTAACACTTAACCTTATTCCTTGGAAAATAGAAATGAAATGCGTTGTAAATATTATTTAAAAACAACTCGTTTCTTATAATTCCTTTCGATTAATCTGTCCCCGGGAATTAAATTTAATGCTGAAGTGCTTGTAAAATAGAGTTTAACTTTCCCGCCAGGGGAGACTAGATATCCAATTATAGTATAGGCTCAAGCAGTAATATACATATTTATGCAACAATTCTCTCTGTGTTAAACTGTATATATAGTTAACAATTGTGCGTTCTGATGTGTGTTGTAGTTATCTACCACATATATACTCAGACAATGAGTCAGACACACACACAAACACACACACATACATAATTTTGACAGAACTATACTTAAGATATACATAAAATATGAGAATGATTGCCGAATTAACGTTTGTTATAGATAATCATAGTAATGGACTTCATATTGTATTGTTTGATAGGCATTATTTAGAAGCTGACGGATGGCAAAGTAAACACAATATATGGATAACAACTTCTTTGATACTGTATAGGCGACGTTTCGGTATAGATCCTTGTACCGTTGTCAAGCAAGGAGGTGAAATAATACTGCTTAATTACTGCTGGAATATATGGACCGATGGAGTATGCCTTGTATCTTTATGTGAACAAAAATAATTTCATGGATCATTATATGTTAGTTGATATCCAAGTAGAACATTTCTGCTGGTGATATTTACTTTAGCTTGAGCACCTGTGTCTGGTCAACGTTCCAGTGATGTCCAGATCATTTTACTTTGCTTCAATCCCCAAATAAGTGTTGCGTCGTTTCTAAACTGAACGGCAAAAGAAACCTTGCACCAGATTCAAGTGATTGTAATTAATAAACTAAAAATAACAAAAGTTTGAGGTAAAGTTTATTAAAAAACCAGCAAGTCCACAAAGTGCTGAACAACTCAATCTGGACTTTTTGTTGTTAGATATTTACACCAGTCAAACAACAACCGTGGGAGTTGAAAATTCTGTTGTCCAGATTTTCACTGCAACTCATTCAAACACGGAAAGTGGTCACAGACACAAAATTTGTCACTTTAGTGCCGAATGTGTCCACTGCGTGTCTGCTAGCTGTATTCAGACAGATAAACCCATCTATATAGCCACAAACACAAGTGAACCATCCAGCAAATTCATCTGGTTCAAACGCCAGCGCAGCCTAATAAACTCTATCATAAGAAGAATGGCTCAAAATGCTGCTTTCGAAAACAGGAAATTCAAGAAAACAGGATATTTAACCTAAATGTTTACATAAGTGCAGGTACCCCATGTGCAAAGAAATCATATTAGAATAACATTGTTCTTGGACCTTATTTTATCCAGTTTGCATTTTCGTCGCCGCCTTGATGATCCACGTATGGCTGACCCTGTTTGTGGAGGGTCACGCTGGGTATGAGTAGTAAGCAATAAGCCGGATCATTCATGACCGTTGTGTTATGTGTGAATGCGCCACTGCGCCCATTGGTATAGACCAAATATGCATGGATTCGATGCTAAAATGATGCGGTTTTAGGATGTGTAAGAAACAGATGACTACACTCGTGCCTGTCAGATATACCACTCCCCCTTTCCCCCGTTAGATACGTTTTGAAGCAACTCGTTGTAAGATAAATGGTATCTAATAGACACTCGTGTAGTAATCTCTGTTTTGACGATGTGGTATTGCAAACAAACGACAGAAACATCACAGCAATTGGTGAAGCCGCCACATTGTTGGTGGTTTGTTAAAAGTTGCGTAAAACCATCACTAAATATAGCCGATTTTATGAATCTACCACGATTGCAATTCCGACATATTGACGTTCCATTATTTTCAGGATGGTAATGTGTAGTTTTAGTAAACGCGAATTAACGTTGCAACACAGATCTAAGAAAACCTCCAAACAATTTGTATATTTTCAACGAACCGTTCCTTGTGCTAGGTGATGCAGTGGACTCTCTACATCCTGATGTCTCTAGCAAGTGGTAAGTATTTTACACCTAACATGCCCGTGTCAAGGATGTATTCATCAATCAATGGTACGTTTATGTTATGGGTTTATGTTGCGTCTCAAGACACAGCTCACCGTCTAGTATCAACATGGGTTTATGTTGCGTCTCAAGACACAGCTCACCATCTAGTATCAATATGGGTTTATGTTGCGTCTCAAGACACAGCGCACCATCTAGTATCAATATGGGAGTATGTTGCGTCTCAGTACACAGCGCACCATCTAGTATCAATATGGGTGTATGTTTTGTCCAAGTACACAGCTCACCATCTAGTATCAATATGGGTTTATGTTGCGTCTCAAGACACAGCGCACCATCTAGTATCAATATGGGTTTATGTTGTGTCTCAGTACACTGCTCACCATCTTGTATCAATATGGGTTTATGTTGCGTCTCAAGACACAGCTCACCATCTAGTAACAATATGGGTTTATGTTGCGTCTCAGTACACAGCGCACCATCTAGTATCAATATGGGTTTATGTTGCGTCTCAAGACACAGCGCACCGTCTAGTATCAATATGGGTTTATGTTGTGTCTCAGTACACTGCTCACCATCTTGTATCAATATGGGTTTATGTTGCGTCTCAAGACACAGCGCACCATCTAGTAACAATATGGGTTTATGTTGTGTCTCAGTACACAGCGCACCATCTAGCATCAATATGGGTTTATGTTGCGTCTCAAGACACAGCGCACCATCTTGTATCAATATGGGTGTATGTTTTGTCCAAGTACACAGCGCACCATCTTGTATCAACATGGGTTTATGTTGCGTCTCAAGACACAGCGCACCATCTAGTATCAATATGGGTTTATGTTGCGTCTCAAGACACAGCGCACCATCTAGTATCAATATGGGTTTATGTTGCGTCTCAGTACACAGCTCACCATCTAGTATCAATATGGGTTTATGTTGCGTCTCAGTACACAGCTCACCATCTAGTATCAATATGGGTTGATGTTGCGTCTCAAGACACAGCGCACCATCTAGTATCAATATGGGTTTATGTTGTGTCTCAGTACACTGCTCACCATCTTGTATCCATATGGGTTTATGTTGCGTCTCAAGACGCATCGCACCATCTAGTAACAATATGGGTTTATGTTGTGTCTCAGTACACAGCGCACCATCTAGCATCAATATGGGTTTATGTTGCGTCTCAAGACACAGCTCACCATCTTGTATCAATATGGGTTTATGTTGCGTCTCAGTACACAGCGCACCATCTAGTATCAATATGGGTTTATGTTGCGTCTCAAGACACAGCGCACCATCTAGTATCAATATGGGTGTATGTTTTGTCCAAGTACACAGCTCACTATCTAGTATCAATATGGGTTTATGTTGCGTCTCAGTACACAGCTCACCATCTAGTATCAATATGGGTGTTTGTTTTGTCCAAGTACACAGCTCACCATCTAGTATCAATATGGGTGTATGTTTTGTTCAAGTACACAGCTCACCATTTAGTATCAATATGGCTTTATGTTGTGTCTCAAGACGCATCGCACCATCTAGTAACAATATGGGTTTATGTTGTGTCTCAGTACACAGCGCACCATCTAGCATCAATATGGGTTTATGTTGCGTCTCAAGACACAGCGCACCATCTTGTATCAATATGGGTTTATGTTGCGTCTCAGTACACAGCGCACCATCTAGTATCAATATGGGTTTATGTTGTGTCTCAGTACACAGCTCACCATCTTGTATCAATATGGGTTGATGTTGCGTCTCAAGACACAGCTCACCATCTTGTAACAATATGGGTTTATGTTGCGTCTCAGTACACAGCGCACCATCTAGTATCAATATGGGTTTATGTTGCGTCTCAAGACACAGCGCACCATCTTGTATCAATATGGGTGTATGTTTTGTCCAAGTACACAGCTCACTATCTAGTATCAATATTGGTTTATGTTGCGTCTCAGTACACAGTTCACCATCTAGTATCAATATGGGTGTTTGTTTTGTCCAAGTACACAGCTCACCATCTAGTATCAATATGGGTGTATGTTTTGTTCAAGTACACAGCTCACCATTTAGTATCAATATGGCTTTATGTTGTGTCTCAGCACACAGCTCACCATCTAGTATCAATATGGGTTTATGTTGCGTCTTAGTACACAGCTCACCATCTAGTATCAATATGGTGTTTATGTTTTGTCCAAGAACACAGCTCACCATCTAGTATCAATATGGGTTTATGTTGCGTCTCAGTACACTGCTCACCATCTTGTATCAATATAGGTGTATGTTTTGTCCAAGAACACAGCTCACCATCTAGTATCAATATGGGTGTATGTTTTGTCCAAGTACACAGCTCACCATTTAGTATCAATATGGGTTTATGTTGCGTCTCAGTACACAGCTCACCATCTAGTTACAATATGGGTGTATGTTTTGTCCAAGTACACATCTCATCATTAAGTATCAATATGGGTTTTGTTGCGTCGAAGTTCGCTGCTCACAATCTAGTATCAATATGGGTTTATGTTGCGTCGAAGTACACTGCTCACGATTTAGTATCAATATGGGTTTATGTTGTGTCTCAGTACACAGCTCACCATCTAGTATCAATATGGGTTTATGTTGCGTCTCAAGAGACAGCGCACCATCTAGTATCAATATGGGTTTATGTTGCGTCTCAGTACACAGATCACAATCTAGTATCAATATGGGTTTATGTTGCGTCTCACTACACAGCTCACCATCTAGTAACAATATGGGTGTATGTTTTGTTCAAGTACACAGCTCACCATCTAGTAACAATATGGGTTATGTTGCGTCGAAGTTCGCTGCTCACAATCTAGTATCAATATGGGTTTATGTTGCGTCGAAGTACGCTGCTCACCATCTAGTATCAATATGGGTTTATGTTGCGTCCAAGTACACTGCTCACCATCTAGTATCAATATGGGTTTATGTTGCGTCCAAGTACACTGCTCACCATCTAGTAACCATATGGGTTTATGTTGCGTCTCAGTACACAGCTCACCATCTAGTAACAATATGGGTTATGTTGCGTCTCAGTACACAGCTCAGCTCGCGGCTGGTTCACCTTCTTCTCGGAACCCATGTCGTGGAACGAAGCCTTCACCGTGTGTTCAGACCGAGGGGAACGTCTACTCCACATCAACAATGCTGATAAATACAGCGATGTGACGGACATGATAAACGAGCTCACTGATCAAGGTTATTTGTAAGTATAGTATTTGTCCATGGGCGACGTAGTTTAACTTGTGAGTTTTTGAAACATGTCTGTTTCATTTTTTCTTGCTTAGCATATACCCATGAAAAAACTTGAATTTTGTTATTTTATCTTTGGAAATGGGTTTCCAGAATTAAAATGGGACGTGTTCTGTATTATGTTGTATTTTACTTGACAGATTATAAACAAATTATTACAATCCCACTGGAATCGTCAGAGAGTCTTAAATCTCATATATCCTTGCTTATTCTATCAAGGACTAGTTTTACCTGTGTGATTTAATTAGCTGTAACAGTGTGGAGCTATTCATTCACATCAACTATATGTGTAATACATGTTATCCTTACCGCCATGTAGGTCACATCTGGTAGTTATGCCAGGAGTCGGTGATCGCTGGTTCAAATCCAAGATTCAATTTGATCATGGGCCGTGGTTATACCCAGAGTGGTAAACGCCTGAGACTGGCATGGCTTTGAACCCCCCCCCCCAAAAAAAAACAACACACACAACAAAACAAACAACAACAACAAAACAAACAACAACAACAACAAAAAACAACAAAACAACAAAAAACAACAACAAACAAACAAAACAAACAACAACAACAAAACCTCATTAAGCTGACACGTCTTGACATAACTGAAATACTGTTCGAAATACGTTCATCCATGACTCACTTATCTACGTTTTCTCCATGCGATTACACCCTTTTTCATTTCTATGCAGCAACTATTGTATGTGTGTTGTTTCACCCTTGTCTCTTTCAGGACGGGTCCCCTGTGGTTAGGTGCCTATAGAACATCAGGATCCACTCCGACCACCATGTGGACAGACTGTAGCCTCGCTCAACTCACGCCCTGGCAAAATGCGACTTATAGCGCAGACAAGTTGTGTGCAGAGGTGCATGGTGATACCTTCGCATGGCAAAAGTGTAACGTGCTTCATCAGTTCATCTGTGAAGGGCATATTGGTAAGTTAGGTACTGACCAAAACACTACGCGACGTACGAGGGAATCACAGTGTCTTATTCTGTGTGTTCCTCATTTGGGTGGTATTGTTGTTCCAGGTCAATGTCGCAAAACATCTTTGTCCTTTATATGTGTGTTCCTCATCAGGATGCTATTGTTGTCCCAGGTTGATGTCGGTATGGTCCTTTATATGTGTGTTCCTCATCGGGATGCTATTGTTCTCCCAAGTCAATGTCTGTATAAATGTCCTTTATATGTGTGTTCCTCATCAGGATGCTATTGTTGTCCCAGGTTGATGTCGGTATGGTCCTTTATATGTGTGTTCCTCATCGGGATGCTATTGTTCTCCCAAGTCAATGTCTGTATAAATGTCCTTTATATGTGTGTTCCTCATCAGGATGCTATTGTTGTCCCAGGTTAATGTCGGTATGGTCCTTTATATGTGTGTTCCTCATCGGGATGCTATTGTTCTCCCAAGTCAATGTCTGTATAAATGTCCTTTATATGTGTGTTCCTCATCGGGATGCTATTGTTCTCCCAAGTCAATGTCTGTATAAATGTCCTTTATATGTGTGTTCCTCATCGGGATGCTATTGTTCTCCCAAGTCAATGTCTGTATAAATGTTCTATATATGTGTGTTCCTCATCGGGATGCTATTGTTGTCCCAGGTTGATGTCGGTATGGTCCTTTATATTTGTGTTCCTCATCGGGATGCTATTGTTCTCCCAGGTCAATGTCTGTATAAATGTCCTTTATATGTGTGTTCCTCATCGGGATGCTATTGTTCTCCCAGGTTGATGTCGGTATGGTCCTTTATATGTGTGTTCCTCATCGGGATGTTATTGTTCTCCCAGGTCAATGTCTGTATAAATGTCCTTTATATGTGTGTTCCTCATCGGGATGCTATTGTTCTCCCAAGTCAATGTCTGTATAAATGTCCTTTATATGTGTGTTCCTCATCGGGATGCTATTGTTGTCCCAGGTTGATGTCGGTATGGTCCTTTATATGTGTGTTCCTCATCGGGATGTTATTGTTCTCCCAGGTCAATGTCTGTATAAATGTCCTTTATATGTGTGTTCCTCATCGGGATGCTATTGTTCTCCCAAGTCAATGTCTGTATAAATGTCCTTTATATGTGTGTTCCTCATCGGGATGCTATTGTTCTCCCAAGTCAATGTCTGTATAAATGTCCTTTATATGTGTGTTCCTCATCGGGATGCTATTGTTCTCCCAGGTTGATGTCGGTATGGTCCTTTATATGTGTGTTCCTCATCGGGATGCTATTGTTCTCCCAAGTCAATGTCTGTATAAATGTCCTTTATATGTGTGTTCCTCATCGGGATGCTATTGTTCTCCCAAGTCAATGTCTGTATAAATGTCCTTTATATTTGTGTTCCTCATCAGGATGCTATTGTTGTCCCAGGTTGATGTCGGTATGGTCCTTTATATGTGTGTTCCTCATCGGGATGCTATTGTTCTCCCAAGTCAATGTCTGTATAAATGTCCTTTATATGTGTGTTCCTCATCGGGATGCTATTGTTCTCCCAAGTCAATGTCGGTATAAATGTTCTATATATGTGTGTTCCTCAAGGATATGCTATTGTTCTCCCAAGTCAATGTCGGTATAAATGTTCTAAATATGTGTGTTCCTCAAAGAGATGCTATTGTTCTCCCAAGTCAGTGTCGGTATAAATGTTCTATATATGTGTGTTCCTCAAGGATATGCTATTGTTCTCCCAAGTCAATGTCGGTATAAATGTTCTATATATGTGTGTTCCTCAAGGATATGCTATTGTTCTCCCAAGTCAATGTCGGTATAAATGTTCTATATATGTGTGTTCCTCAAAGAGATGCTATTGTTCTCCCAAGTCAGTGTCGGTATAAATGTTCTATATATGTGTGTTCCTCATCGGGATGCTATTGTTGTCCCAGATCAATGTCGGTATGAGAAAACCAGTGGTCATGACCTGGCGTCCGGCAAAGGTCACTCCGGGACGAGGGTCAGCAGTGCCGTATGTGGCAGCTACTGTATGACGTATGAATTGCACACTGCGCACTTTGACCTCATCTGTGCAGCCTACAGCTTTAACAACGTGACACGCGAGTGCTTCGTTAACATGAAGCCGAGCCTGTACGAACCTGACAAGTCTCCTTCCTTCGCAGCCAACACGGACATGGAGGTGAACGTCAAACGATGCTTCAGTTGTAAGTAGATGCCCACTTCTTGAACCCTGCGGGTGTCGTCATAGAACATTGTAAAACACGGGCGGTAGTTCATGATTTCATCTCATTTTCTAACTTTATTGACAAGATCTATTGGCATTGAACTAACTCAGTCTTCAGGTCATTTTTTCTTTGTGCAGAGAATTATGCTTGTGTTATGAATTGCGTTTCTGTAGATATTGCGTAAACGTCATTTGTTATTAGAAACTGAACTTTAATTTCAAATCCTGGTAAGAATATCATTTCCGTGTGAAAATGTAACCAGCGCCAGTAATATAATAACACTTGTATGGAAGGTGTGTGTGTGTGTGTGTGTGTGTGTGTGTGTGTGTGTGTGTGTGTGTGTGTGTGTGTGTGTGTGTGTGTGGTGTGTGTGTGTGTGTGTGTGTGTGTGTGTGTGTGTGTGTGTGTGTGTGTGTGTGTGTGTGTGTGTGTGTGTATGTGTGTGTGTGTGTGTGTGTGTCTTTTCACTCTCCAGAAGCAGGAGTTACATTATTCTACATTCCAAGACAATTCAGTCTACTATTTTAGAGGAAATGGTGTGTGGACGGGTACTGCAGGGGATCACCAAGGTTACTGGGTCCCGTATACAGGTGGGTACCCACCCACCACAAGAAGATACCCTCGTTTCCCGTACAAGATCGGCGTGTAGCGAAACGTAGCCAGCAAAGTTTAATCTTTAAGAAACATGACTGACCATGACGGCGGCATAAAACTGTTTAGGTAATCTGGAATGCAAAGCGAGATTTCACTCTGCTGGGTACCTTTCGCTAAATTTGGCAACTCTGCTGGGAACGTGGGTGCCTTCTTGTGTCAGCTGGGTGCCCCCTGTACTCGGGTTTCCGTACTACCGGTCCTTACAACGACCTCTTTCACTGATTGCTGTGGATCCTTGTTTTATTGTAATCACGTGATGAAGTCACCTAAAGTTGTGCTATCTCACTTTTAACAGTGAACATTTCCTCATCATCCGCTGGTCGGCCCGATTCTCGATTGAAGCCAGAAAATCCATGCACTAGTGACCAGGTGTTCTTCTCTGCCACCTCTACCACCATCTTCAGCAACGTCACGCCATTGACGCACAGCACTGCGGTACAGTCGTCAACGACCAATGCCCATAGTAGTATGTTGGACACGCCTAGTTTCGACTTCAGCGCCATGGCGACGGTTGGAGTGAGTGACCACATTCCCACTGCTGTCTCTGTGGTCGGAACCACCCTCCAAGGATTGATCACTGTACTTAATGTAGATAATAGTAATGTAAGGTCACACGTATCAGAATCTTCAGACATTTCCCCGAGCTTCAACCTTGTGTTTCCAAGTGACAACTATGCAAGCACACTCTACTCAAGCACATCGCACATATGGATGACGAGCAGCAGATCCCCACCGCTGTCGTTCCCGCCTCCCAATACCGCAACTGAACACGTAACTGGCACGCTTTCCCTATCAGAAAAAATGACACAGGGAACCACTAAATTACCTCCCTTGTCGCAGGGGGACCCCAAACTGATCAGTTCAGCTTACTCTCAACAAGATGTTATCACACACGGCCTAGTGGCAACGACTACTACATCCGGGGCGTTCAGCGATGTCCCAAACAATCCATCAGGTAAGCTTTACTGTTGCATTCATGAAAAATACCAACTGTTATATGGAAGTTGAATATTAACGAATACATATTTGACTTTAAATGCTGATAGAGGCACGGTTGCGCAGCAATTCTATTTGCAGAGTTGGGTCTCTCAGCTCAGCCAACATCAGCTGAACGTGAATCCAAATCTTAGATTTACTCTGAATATGATTATTGGTTTGTTAGTACCATGCTTCGGTTTACCAAAGTGGTAAATGTCTTTGACATGTGTCTCTTCTGGCTTCCTTTCCATATCGAGCTGACTGACTCAAATGCCGATTTCCCAAAATTTTGTGTTGACATTTTCCAGGCACCATGTTGTGTACATGCCACTGTCGGCCGTCTAACATAACAGAGGAGCGCCTACGGTCAATCAAGCAACACCTAGCTGTGGATAGAGCCAACCTCTCGACCACCAGGCGCCGGATGATGTCTGCCCCTGACCACCGGAAGTCTGTGACAGCCGTGGGGAGTATCAGCGTGGGTGTGCTCTGTGTCCTGCTGCTGGTGCTCCTGGCGCTTGACGTGGATCAGGTATTACGACTGGTTACCTGGTGTCACTACGCCACCCCAGGTACTGAAACCGGGACATGTGTGGGTAGTGGCCAGACAGCAAGTTCACCAGTCAGAGAGGGGAGGGAACATATGCTGTGAATCAGCACTTAACATTACTTTAAAGGCAAGATGTTTTATGATTACAACTTCTTCATACTGTTATGATGCGACGTTTCAGTTCAGATCCTTTTTCCGTTGTCAAGCAAGAGTGAAGTAAGTCAGCACAGAACAGATTATATGCATCTAATATGGATTAACAAAATGAGGAAATACATGACTTGGATTACCAACAACAGCAAAGGATAATACTTGATTGACATAGTAACAACAGAAAGAAGAAAATGGCTGATTGATAACAGAAGACGCCAACAGAAGGCGTACAAATATACAGTGCGCAGCGTAATTTGTTCTTTGATCATGACAGTAAATGAAACAGGATGAGTAGTGTTCCAAGTGATCTATGTATGATACAAGTTGATTACAGCAGTATCAGTGTCAGGCTCCTCCTCCGCCGGGGCATGGTGTGTACCGAAGAAGGGGAAGCGGTAGTATAATCACCCCACATTCCTCGTATAACCGAATACATTTCGCTTTTCTCACCAGTAATACAATCTCAGAAAGCTAATCTCGCTAGACTCCTATAATCATCTTAAATGTATCCAAATACTCAATGAGTGTCCATACATCCACAAGAGACAAGACCACGACGTCTACTACATCCCAAATTACTAACTCCTTACAACAACTACCTCTACCACTAAAGCTATTATCATTATTACTAATCCACTAGTAGCCATTGTGTTACTGACGTTTACTATTACCCTCTTACTTCTACTTGGCAGTTTTATATCAATATTTGAGTTAATTACGACGTCGCTATCTTCTATAGTGTCTATTTCCTTCACGGACATTTCAGCCCAGCAACACAAAGGTTATGGTTAGCAACATTTAGCGAGACGATGAACGTTTCCCGGGGGTAACTACAACGGGATGAACTGATTTAAACTGACGCAATGAGACGTGACTTATGCATTGACCAAAGGACGGTTTTATTCACGCCCGTCTTCGATTTAATCAAGCACTTGATTCAGTTCAATGTGTCAAGAGATTTATTTGGCGTAATCAAGATACGGTTTCTGTTAGACACTGCAATTTGAGGTTTTCAATCACAATTACAGAATGCTTGAAACAAGATCGGGGGAAAATCTATAAGGATTCATGCCCTCTATCTACTTTTTCAACTTGCACTGACGGTTTAACAGTCACACGTAGTCACTGCAGTAGATGTCACCATCGATTGGCTGATGTCGCGCGGACCTCGGAGAAGGCACTATTCATAACAGCGACCTTTCATCACACCTTGGACTACCTGTGAGAGAATTACACGGAGATCAAATAGATACTGTTAAGTAAATGGCACGAAAACCAACTACAGTAATCAAGCTGAAAGAACATGAATTTATATTGTAAGTGTAGAACATTACTTAGTTGGACATAGCATAATTCAGACATTGATTTAGAAGTTGGGAGAACATGAATACATAATAGCAAGTTTGTTAAATTCTTTGTACGACGTTTCAGAGCTACTTCTTGCTCCTTCATCAGGTGAATGCTCAGTATATATAAATCATGATATTTACATAAGGTGGGATTCATGTACAGAGATAACAACATAATGACAAAGGCAGTGACATTTTGATTAATGTACAAAGATATTAACAATATAATGACGAACCGATGAGATAGGATGAATGTACAAGGGTAACAATATAATGACGACGCCGATGGGATAGGATTAAGATAACATTGTGATGAAGCCAATGATATTAACAGGAGAGGATTATTTAAGTACACTGAAGGTGTAGTGGTGACAGGGATCTGGCTATTGTGACACAAGCACTAAGGTAATCAAGATGTCCATTCTGGTAGACATAATTTATATTGTACCATATTGGACATAACTTCGTTATGGTTGTCGGATGTTTAGCAACGCTTTGAATATATTCCCATACACTGAACAGCATACACAGCACTGGAGGAAAAAACCCTGTAAAGAACTGACGGGCATAACGAACGTATTGTTTGGTCCCGACCATTTGTTATATACATGCTGTACATGTGCTGATAACAAACTAAAATTAGTGGTCCCTTTGAGTTCGTTATAACCGTACTTTACTGTACACTGAATAACGTACACATCACTAGGGGAAAGCAACACGCTGACATAACTACTGAGTATATTCGCATACACTTAATAGCGTACACAGCACCAGAGGAAAGCAACACGCCGACATAACTACTGAGTATATTCACATACACTTAATAACATACACAACACCAGAGGAAAGCTACACGCTGACATAACTACTGAGTATATTCGCATACACTGAATAAAGTACACAGCACCAGAGGAAAGCAACACGCTGACATAACTACTGAGTATATTCACATACACTGAATAACGTACACATCACTAGAGGAAAGCTACACGCTGACATAACTACTGAGTATATTCACATACACTGAATAACGTACACATCACCAGAGGAAAGCTACACGCTGACATAACTACTGAGTATATTCGCATACACTGAATAACGTACACAACACCAGAGGAAAGCTACACGCTGACATAACTACTGAGTATATTCACATACACATAATAACGTACACATCACTAGAGGAAAGCTACACGCTGACATAACTACTGAGTATATTCGCATACACTGAATAACGTACACAGCACCAGAGGAAAGCTACACGCTGACATAACTACTGAGTATATTCACATACACATAATAACGTACGCAGCACTAGAGGAAAGCTACACGCTGACATAACTACTGAGTATATTCACATACACTGAATAACGTACACAGCACTAGAGAAAAGCTACACGCTGACATAACTACTGAGTATGTTCACATACACATAATAACGTACGCAGCACTAGAGGAAAGCTACACGCTGACATAACTACTGAGTATATTCACATACACATAATAACGTACACATCACTAGAGAAAAGCTACACGCTGACATAACTACTGAGTATATTCACATACACATAATAACGTACACATCACTAGAGAAAAGCTACACGCTGACATAACTACTGAGTATATTCACATACACATAACAACGTACACATCACTAGAGGAAAGCTACACGCTGACATAACTACTGAGTTTTAAGCATGTATATCGCATGCCATGGACAGTGTCAACTGTGTCGATGTGTCAATACACAAACAACACTGGCCTGTCAGACAGCCAACTTGATTACTTCCAGGCTGCAAGCATGACATGCCCCTCAGCTGCAGACGGAGTATGGTCAGTGTTTGAGGTAATAAACACGACCCACACTTCAGCATAGACGCCACGTAGGCTACACAAGTATACTTCAACAGCGGTGAATTTGATTACATGCAGTAAAACAACATTTGTTTGAGGAGACAGGACACAGACAAGCCTACATGAAAGAAACTGTACGTGCAGACGTAATGTGTTGATTAATTTATTGATACCCGCTTGTCAATGTTATCGAATGATATACTTGTCATGATATCACGGAGGTGATTCGTGTTATTGAATTATCTTAACAATATTCTAGAATGTGATTTCAAATGACAGTATACCTACTGATGACATTCACTTGATTTATTATTGAAAAGTGCTTATCCAGATATCTATCTGACGTCACGTTTGCTTTCGTAAAATAAAACACATTAAACTTTTTGTTAGGAGGGCTCTTAAGGAACAACAAGATTCGGATACCAGAAGCCGTATCTGGAAAATAACACACTGCAAGTAGCTTCACCATACATCACGCGCAATGTTGCTAGTCGGAATCATCTACCTTGTCAAAACGTCCTATGGTAACACACATTGTGTAAACACTGTATTTGTTTAGATACACTTGTTTCATATCTAACAATTTGATAAGGAGAAAACTACGATAATTTGATGTTGCTAATTAACCGTTGACCTTGTTATCAGTACTCATTATCGTACGTGTCATAATCTGAGGGCCCATAGGGAAACAAACCCTGGCAAGAACGGGCACTACATCCCCGACATCGATGGCGGATACAAGTCCATCCATTGTTCTCCGCACTGAATATACCGGCAAATTCGGCGACTTAGCAATGTTGGGTTGATTGCTACAAGGGCAACTGAAAATAAGTTTAGCTCATATGTCAAGTGTTTGGACGTGTTGTCAGCTGTAGCGGTCCTTAATAGTCAATTACGAGTGCGTGTTATCGGTTGAAGTGGTCCCGACCAATCAATTACAAGTACGTGTTATCGGTTGAAGTGGCCCCGACCAATAAATTACAAGTACGTGTTATCGGTTGAAGTTCTCCTGACCAATCAATTACAAGTATGTGTTATCAGTTAAGGTGGTCCCGACCAATCAATTACAAGTACGTGTTATCGTTTGAAGTGGTCCCGACCAATCAATTACAAGAATGTGTTATCGGTTGAAGTTCTCCTGACCAATCAATTACAAGTATGTGTTATAAGTTAAGGTGGTCCCGACCAATCAATTACAAGTACGTGTTAAATGTTGAAGTGGTCCCGACCAAATAATTACAAGTACGTGTTTATCGGTTAAAGTGGTCCCGACCAATCAATTACAAGTACTTGTTATCGGTTGAAGTGGTCCCGACCAATCAATTATAAGTGCGTGTTATCGGTTGAAGTGGTCCCGACCAACCAATTACAAGTGCGTGTTATCGGTTGAAGTGGTCCCGACCAATCAATTACAAGTACGTGTTATCGGTTGAAGTGGTCCCGACCAATCAATTACAAGTACGTGTTATAGGTTAAAGTGGTCCCGACCAATCAATTACAAGTACGTGTAAAAAGCCGAAGTGGTACCCACCAGTCAATTCCAAGTACGTATTATGGGTTTAAATAGTCCCGATCAGTCAATTGCAAGTACGTGTTATAAGCCGAAATGGCCCCTTCTAGTCAATTGCAGGTACGTGTTATCGGCTGAAGTGGTCCCTTCTCGTACGTGTCAAAATCTTAAGTGTTCAAGTCAAGTACATGTACAAGTATGCTTACGTGGTCTTACACGGTGTTATCAACTGATGTGGTGTCGACCAGTTAAGTATATGGACGTGTTATCAACTGAGGTTGTCTCGACCAGTTCAGTGTATGGACGTGTTATCAACTGAGGTTGTCTCGACCAGTTAAGTATATGAACGAGTTATCAACTGATGTGGTGTCTACCAGTTAAGTGTATGGACGTGTTATCAATTGAGGTTGTCTAGACGTTTAAAGTGTGTAGGCATGTTATCAACTGAGATGGTCACAACGAGTTAAGGTTATGGACGTGTGGTGATCTGAGGTGATCCTACCCCGTTAGATGCTCTGAAACGTAAAGCGAGTGTTATTCCATCACGTATCTGTTAGGAGGCGTTAACTCTAAGTCTT